TTGGCCCCTTTTTGGCCCCCAATTCCTAAACGTTTTGAGCAATGACCCCCAAACTCAATTCCAGCTTTCCCTTTGTGATATGGAACCTTGTAGTACAATTTCAGAAATATCCAAACACTTACACACAAGTTATTGTCATGAAACTAGAAAAATGCTTGTTTTTTGCCCCTTTTTTGGCCCCTAATTCCTAAAATTTTGAGGCAATTACCCCCTAAATCAATCCCAGCATTCCCTGTGTGATATGGAACCATGTGGTACAATTTCAGAGTGATCCATACACTTGAACACAAGTTATTGTCTGGAAACTAGAAAAATGCTTATTTTTGGCCCCTTATTCCTAAACGTTTCGGGCAATTACCCCCAAACTCAATTCCAGCTTTCCCTTTGTGATATGGAACCTTGTAGTACAATTTCAGAAAGATCCATACACTTTCACACAAGTTATTGTCATGAAACTAGAAAAATGCTTGTTTTTTGCCCCTTTTTTGGCCCCTAATTCCTAATATTTTGAGGCAATTACCCCCAAAATCAATCCCAGCATTCCCTTTGTGATATGGAACCTTGTGGTACAATGTCCATACACTAACACACAAGTTATGTCTGGAAGTTACAATAAAATGCTTCGCTGGGCGCAGCTTGATACGACCGCAGAGGTCGAACCCTGAACAGTTGGGGTAAGTATGGACACAACATTCAAGCTTGATACAGCTCTGAATTTGGATTGTGATTAAATATTTGACACAGCATAGGTTTCTGGCACAGAAAGAATGTGGTCCAAGAACTTCAATTTTTTTAATTTACCTATCATGGTCCAATGTCCAAAATCAAAATACATGGTTAGATTCAGTATATCAAAGAACCCCATATATTCAATTTTTGTTGAAATCAAACAAAGTTTAATTTTGGACCCTAACTTGGACCAACTTGAAAACTGGTCCCATAATCAAAAATCTAAACACATGTTTAGATTCAGCATATCAAAGTACTCCAAGAATTCAATTTTTGTTAAAATCAAACTAAGTTTAATTTTGGACCCTTTGGACCTTATTGTAGACCAATTTAAAAAACGGGACCCAAAATTAAAAATCTAAAATCACGGTTAGATTTGGCATATCAAAGAACCCCAATAATTCAATTTTTAATGAAATCAAACAAAGTTTAATTTTGGACCCTTTTTACCTCAATATGAACCAATTTGATAGCGGGCCCACAAATAAAAAATCTAAATACATGGTTAGATTCAGCATATAAAAGAACCCCATATATTCAATTTTTGTTGAAATCAAACAAAGTTTAATTTTGGACCCCAATTTGGACCAACTTGAAAACTGGGCCAAAAATCTAAAATCTAAATACATGTTTAGATTCAGCATATCAAAGAACCCCATATATTCAATTTTTGTTGAAATCAAACAAAGTTTAATTTTGGACCCCAACTTTGACCAACTTGAAAACTGGGCCCATAATCAAAAATCTAAACACATGTTTAGATTCAGTATATCAAAGAACCCCAAATATTCAATTTTTGTTAAAATCAAACTAAGTTTAATTTTGGACCCTTTGGACCTTAATGTAGACCAATTTAAAAAACGGGACCCAAAATTAAAAATCTAAATACACGGTGAGATTTGGCATATCAAAGAACCCCAATAATTCCATTTTTGATGAAATCAAACAAAGTTTAATTTTGGACCCTTTTGACCTCAATATGAACCAATTTGATAGCGGGGTCCACAAATAAAAAATCTAAATACATGGTTAGATTCAGCATATTAAAGAACCCCATATATTCAATTTTTGTTGAAATCAAACAAATTTTAATTATGGACCCCAATTTGGACCAACTTGAAAATTGGGCCAAAAATCAAAAACCTAAATACATGTTTAGATTCAGCATATCAAAGAACCCCATATATTCAATTTTTGTTAAAATCAAACAAAGTTTAATTTTGGACCCTTTGGACCTTAATGTAGACCAATTTGAAAACTGGACCCAAAATTAAAAATCTAAATACACGGTTAGATTCGGCATAACAAATAAATAAATGTGGTCAAAGATTTTACAAATCTAATGCGCCATACTGTGCAATTAAAGATTACTTCTTGAAATTTTTCAATATTTGAAATTTGAAAAAAAAATAATATTTGAAGAATAATTCTTTATAATTTCTGAAATCTGAAATGAGAAAAATTGACCCCCCACAATTTCTTTTTAACCCCCCCCCCTTTTTTCCCCAAAAAAATTCTTTCCCTCAAGATATGGTCATAATCTCAATTCAAATTTCCAATGGAATTTGCAACCATAATTACCCATTTAAATTTACCATAATAACTTAATCTATTTTATAATAGAATTCAAAATATAGTGTCAAATCTTTCATATGGATTTTTTGGTAAAAAAAAAGATGCAACATTTGCAGATATTTTTACTGGTCTTCCTTTATAAATATGCATTTCTTTAAACATAATTTAAAAGCAGTGTAAGGGAAGTTACCAAAACGTTGTATTTGGATTACCTCCCTTACACTGTTTTTAATTATCTTAATTGTTCATTAACCATTACTTTATACATAATTTAAAAGCAGTGTAAGGGAGATAATTTCAATGATGTATTTGATTTATCTCCCTTACACTGCTTTAAATTATGTTTTGTACTAAAGTATTTGTCCATTAACCAGGACAACCTTGTTTTTCCCCCTTTTTTGCCCCTAATTCTTAAACGGTTTGAGCCATACTCCCCCAAAGCAAATCCTAACCATCCCTTTGTGGTATGGAAACTTGTAGTATAATTTCAGAGAGATCCATACACCTTTCCACAGTTATTGTCTGGAAACTAGAAAATGCTTATTTTTGGCCCCTTTTTGGCCCCTAATTCCTTAACTGTTGGTACCATAACCCCCAAAATCAATCCCCACCTTCCTTTTGTGGTATTGAACCTTATGGTAAAATTTCACAAAGATCCATTCACTTAAACTAAAGTTAGAGTGCGAAAACTAATGTGTATTCGGACGACAACGACGCTGGACGACGACGACGACGACGACGACAACGTCATACCAATATACGACCACAAAAATTTTTTTGCGGTCGTATAAAAATGCTTATTTTTGGCCCCTTTTTGGCCCCTAATTCCTTAACTGTTGGTACCATAACCCCCAAAATCAATCCCAACCTTCCTTTTGTGGTATTGACCTTATGGTAAAATTTCATAGAGATCCATTCACTTAAACTAAAGTTAGAGTGCCAAAACCAATGTGTCTTCGGACGACGCCAACGTCATACCAATATACGACCGCAAAAATTTTTGCGGTCGTATAAAAAATTGTACTGGCACATTAAATTAACACGAACTCTAAAATTATTGAAACGGAAGTTTTATTTATATAATAACATAGTAGATTATTAACAAAATCCTGATAATTCCCTCTTCTCTGCAAGTTTGTATGTAGTATGTGTAAGTCTCTTCAGTTTATATTTTAACATAATTTTTATCATTTTTTTCTTAGTTCCATAACTAAAATAACAAAATATATAAAACACACAACACTAATCTATTCCCATTTGATCTTATTCTCCTCCATTTGAATTTTGTATGCCTTTAAATAAATTCTCTAGGTTTTTTTTCAGCTGTTCAAATGGACAAAAATTAAACTAAATGAGATCAGACCAAGAACACATCACATCACTGGTTTAATTGTTTTTATCAGTTTTATTTTTCACTTTAAAATCTTCAATGAGTGACGAGCTCTTCATAAAGGAGGTAAAGAAAAGTAAACAAAGTGTAGAAATGAAACAGAAGCATTTCCCCCAAAGACAATAAGCATGGGAAGAATTAAAACTACTGTCATATCACAAACTCAAACTTTTTACACATATTTTACATAATTTATACAATTTTTTTGTTTGTTTTTTTAACATAATATATTACACTTTTTATTTAACAGCTGCACCACACAATGTAGCTGTATATTTTCATATTAATTCAATCAATGTAGGATAAAGTTAATAATCTAATAATTTGTTTACATACTTACCTGGTTAAAATACCAGTATATAATGAGCAGTTTTTATCAATTTACATTTTTTTCTCTTTTTTTTACAATATTTTTCATTATTTTCATTACAGGATGGAACCTTTTAAAAGAGGTTCACCAAGGGAGACAACTACAACAAGATTTTCACTCGCTAACCTGTTACACTGAATGTTTTTATTCCTTATTTAAATATTAATTTGAATAAGTATTCTCAAGAAATAACATTGATTTCACTTATCTTTGATAAACAAAATAGTTTTTTAAGTTCTGACATTTTCCTCAATTTTCTGAAACATTAAAAAAAAACATCTACTGGTTGAATACTAATGGAACACATCAACAGCAATGAAATGTTGATATAACAATGTAATGTTACATGAACAATGTAAACAATGTGCACTCCTTATATGTGTATACAAAAAAGGTCAAGATGTGTGTTGCTGTACATTTAAATTATTTACCAAACTATTTTGACTGATAAAGGAAATCATTTTGTACATTGAACATTCGCTCCATTCAGGACAATATTGTTCCTTGACCTATTTGTACTGAGGTTACTACACTACTTCTCATCTTCAAAATATGTGATGATAGTGTGCCTCATTTTACATAAATCCTACTGTTGTGATGGTTTAAAAATGTGTAAAATAACAGATTTTCCAATAATATTTTTTTAAATAAAACAGGAATACTGAATTAAGCTATGAAATGCTGACAAGAGCTTTGAACCAATTGTATAAAGTTGAGATGTTATGGTTATTTCTTACAAATTTTTGAAAATAAACAATCCAAATTATATAACTACATGATAAATATACAATATTAATAAACATGAGGGCAAACATATCTGAACAAAAGCTCTGACAATACAGTTTATAAATGCTTGTAATCATGGTAACAAGAAAATCTGTCAAATTATCTGTCCTTAGGATCTACTCTATTTCGGTTTCCCTGGTACCCTCTTTAGCTTGCTGCTTCAGTGGAAGGTGCAGTTTCTTTGGCTTGATGAGCTTGCAGTACAGCAACGGCTTCATTTACCTGAAAAATATATATCATTTATTTTATTCATCAATGAAGTTGTGATTTCAGGCAAAAATGTAGCAACATAATAAGGCAGCTAAAAAAGTAATGAACAGTCAGGACAAATATAGATTCCACCACAAGACTGTTTACTTTTAATATTCAAAGCGTGAGGCTTGCCAAGCTTTTTAAATAATTAAGACTTAACTGTTGAGAGTGGAGAAATATCATATTACACGAGTTATAGTGGTGAAATTTGTTTCTCAAATGATTTTTATCCTTCCTTTTCAATGATTTACAGAAAGTTGTGTTCTTCATATGTGACGTCATCAGTTATGGTCACAATAGGACATTCAGAAGGAACCAAGAAAATTTGACGTCACAATTAAATTTCTACCAATCAATTCCAGAGAACAGTCATTTCACTAGTGAGGATAACAGTTTTTTTCAAAATGGGTTGGGAAATGTGACAAAAGTGAAAGAATTAGAGAAACAATGATCTACAACCTCTATATCTATCTTTGATTTGGGGAATGGATTGAACATGGACTGAAAAGATATAACAAGAGTACACACACTGAAATGCTTTGCCTGCTTTATTCATTGTGATGGAATATCATTATGCTAATCTTTAAGATAAAGGTTAATTACAGGTATCACAAAGGTCTTTTTACTTCTCATTATTATATAGCTTTATGCATATAGTTTATGGTGTTTTGGCTAGATAAGCATCCCCTTTTCACAATCTGCAGTTCAAGACATAAAGACATAAAACAACAGTTACAAACACTTGACAGTTTCCATCGGCCACGCAAAAAAAAAAAAAACAACTTTGTATTCAATGTTTGACAACTGTAAAAAATTTTTGACTTCCCAATGTGGACAGGCAGAAAAAAGCAAAACCCATCTGAACTGCATTGTACCATGTGATAGATCACACTTAAGTACGGTACAGTAAAACAGAGATTGCCTAAACAATCCATCTGAACTGCAGTGTACCATGTGATAGATCATATTAAATGTAGAGTAAAATAGAGATTGCCTAAATAATCCCCCTTTTAATCATTTGTCCTACAAACCTTTGCCTCCAGTGACTCCTTGGATTCCAACATGTGTAACAATTCAGAGTTGTCTATTTCCAGTAACATTCCAGTGATCTTTCCAGCCAGGTCTGGGTACATACTTTGGATCAGAGGGAACAGACGTTCTCCTAACATCTGTTTCTGTTCCTGTTGGGGGGCATCAGCTAACATGGTAGCAGTCAGAGGCTCCTGACCTTGAACTTGAATCACTCCTCCTTGGGCTGGTGGCTAAAACAGAATTATATTTATATAAGTGTTAATGCTGACATTCAATTATGTTTTTCTAAGGGACACAATACCTTTCTAGCATGTACAGACACTAGATAATAAATTCTTTAAATGATTAGAAAATGAAAGGATATGGAGTAAATGTACATGGGACAAAATCGCACACAATACATAGAAACATAGAAAATTATCAATGAACAGGGCTTTTATTGCTGTTCTTCATGTTGAAGCTGTATTAACTTTTTTTCCACCTTCAATATTTTTTTCTTAATTTCCATCTGGTGCAAAACTGACATTAACCTGTTCTTCTTTAAAGAAAAACCAAATACCCTGTTTTTTTATGAAATGCCACAGCTTTATCAATTCTTTAAAAATGTTATAGTATAGATCTGAAGAATCATGCTGAACTCTAAAGAATGCCATACTGTCAATTCAGAAATTATTGAGTGCATTTATTATTGAGAATTTTGAAAAATGAACAACAAGTGAAACTGCGAGCTACTGCTCACTGATGATACCCCCGCCCAAATTTTCGGTGAACAGGAAATTGTTGAGTGATGAATCTGAAAACAGATCACACAGTATAGCTGACCTATATAAACCATGAAACCAAATTTCAGAAATCCTTGTATTGTAGTTCCGGAGAAAAATGTGACGAAAATTTTCAACTTGGCTACTCATGTGTAAAATGATGCAAGTGTTTGGTAAACAAAAAGCTGTTGAGTGATGAATCTGAAAACGCATCACACTGTAGAGTCGACTTTTATAAACCCTGAAACCAAATTTCAGAAATCCTTATGATGTAGTTCCTGAGAAAGATGCAACGAAAAATATTCATTGGACGGATAGACGGACAGACGGATGGATAGACGGACAGACAGAGGTAAAACAGTATACCCCCATTTTTTAAAGCGGGGGTATAAAAATGCTTGTTTAATTATTGCAATTTTAGGAAAATCTACATACATATATATGTTTTTGATATAAGAATGCAAGTTCTTATTATTGTGATACTCAAGAAGTTGCATAATTTGCATTAATAAAAACCTCGCTATAATTTCTGAATTTATAGTACTTCAATGACACGATTCTTTACCTATGACTCACATCAATCTAACTTTATACATAAGAAGTTGAAGAGAACATGAAATCTTAAGAATGCCATATTTCCAAGATCTTATTCTTTACCTTCTTTCAGTTTCAGAATATTTTTTTACAAAAGTGGTTGAAAGATAATTGGTTAACATGGTAAATAAATGAAATCAATTATATAATCCCATTTTTCACAAGCCATTTCATTACCTTCACTAAAGATACAGAATTTAGGATTAATTTTAAATCAACTTCTCACTTAGAATAGACCCTTTAATTGAAAACAAACATGTTTATTCCTAAGTGTTCTATTTGTGGCATAACCATGTTTTGATGAGTCATGCATTGTAATACATCAGAGTTCAGGACCAAAATCAAATCAAATTTTCACTCAGAATTAGACCTTTAGTTGACCCCAGATAACAAGCTGTACCTACCTGTGGCATCACCATGTTTTGCTGTCTTCCAGCTTGAGGTGGGTTTCTCATCTGTGTAGCTGAATATCTGTTGGCTGGGTTGAGTACTCCGGCTGGGGGAGGCCCTTGTCCTCTGCCTGGTACGGACTGTGGCATGCGTGGTGGTTGTCCAGTGCCAGACTGTCCTGTGATTGGACGAGCATTCATTCCACCCCGGATGTTGCCTTGACCAGGTTGTCTTGCTCCAGCTGCTGCAGGATTGCCAGGTCTAACCTGTTGTCCAGGCATATTCTGGAATCCTGAAATAGGAAGATTCCCCGTTATACAAAGCTGGCTGGTAATTTTGTCTATCCAGTAAGTTCATCTTTCAATTCTATGTTAAACAAATGGACTTACCAGGGTAATAAATTACTGAGCAATGTTGTCATTTACACATAAATCCCCAAGCTTTGAATATGAAAATAAGGAGATGTGGTATGATTGCCAATGAGAAATTCAAATGGAGTGGATGTAAGCAATTGAAGTCTGTATCAGAATCTTCTTCCTCTAAGTAACATACATGGGGAGATCAAGGTTGAATATGCGGTATCTCTTTATGGCTCATTTTTGCCTCTACATTAAAACTAAATATGCCAAACAAATTGAACTATTGCTAAAGATATCTAAATCCGTTTACTTCAAAATTAAAATAGGTCAAACAAGATGAACTGTAAGCTATGCTATAAATATCTATATAATTTTTTTATTTACTGGAAGTCTGAAGTTGATAAGCAATAGATGTGAAAACACATATATTACAAAATACAATCTCAAATGATGCTTGATACAAAATTATAAGGACGCTCTCATCAGTAATCTTGAGAAAAGTTTGACAAAAATTTCAAATGTTTCATACATGGTCATTGTGCGTAAGAATATACAAGTATTCAGTTATAAATAGTAATCTGATGAGCAATGATTGTGTATCAAATGGTAAGCCCTGCTTTTGTGATTTGTAGTTTGTGGGGGAATTGTGTTGAAATTCCTTCCTCCAGACTAAGAAATCTATGTAATACATATTTGTATTTCGTTCATTGCTTTTTAATAAATCAAGCCGTTAGTTTTATCGTTTGAATTGTTTTACATTTGTCATTTTATAGCCGACTATGATGCATGGGTTTTGCTCATTGTTGAAAGCTGTTCAGTACATACCACTAGCTGGTGTGGGCTGTCTTAGCTGTGTTGGCCATCTTGGACTTGCCCTCATCTGTGGCACCTGTGTTGGGGCATAGAAATTTCTCTGTCCCTGTGTCATGGTAGGAAGGATATACCCAGGTCCAGCTGATGGGAACATCTGACTCATCATACCGGCAGCAGGCTGTCCCTAAAATCATAATCAAATCAAGTATGTAAAAAACTCATCATCCCGGCAGCAGGCTGTCCCTAAAATCATAATCAAATCAAGTATGTAAAAAACTCATCATCCCGGCAGCAGGCTGTCCCTAAAATCATAATCAAATCAAGTATGTAAAAAACTCATCATACCGGCAGCAGGCTGTCTCTAAAATCATAATCAAATCGAGTATGTAAAAAACTCATCATCCCGGCAGCAGGCTGTCTCTTAAATCATAATCAAATCAAGTATGTAATAAACTCATCATCCCGGCAGCAGGCTGTCCCTAAAATCATAATCAAATCAAGTATGTAATAAACTCATCATCCCGGCAGCAGGCTGTCTCTAAAATCATAATCAAATCAAGTATGTAAAAAACTCATCATCCCGGCAGCAGGCTGTCTCTAAAATCATAATCAAATCAAGTATGTAAAAAACTCATCATCCCGGCAGCAGGCTGTCTCTAAAATCATAATCAAATCAAGTATGTAATAAACTCATCATCCCGGCAGCAGGCTGTCTCTAAAATCATAATCAAATCAAGTATGTAAAAAACTCATCATCCCGGCAGCAGGCTGTCTCTAAAATCATAATCAAATCAAGTATGTAAAAAACTCATCATCCCGGCAGCAGGCTGTCTCTAAAATCATAATCAAATCAAGTATGTAAAAAACTCATCAAAGATACCAGGTTTAAAATTATCTGTACCAGACAGGTGTTTGTTTACATGATATTTTTACTCATTGGTGACACTCCTACAAATAAAACAAATGAACGGAAAATGAAGTTGAAGAGCATTGGGTCAACATTTCTGAATTGTGTCAATTGCCCCAAAAGCCATATATGCCTTGTGGGTATAAAAACCAGTGTTTTGCATATTTCAAACATATTTGACAACCTCAACAAAAATTATGTAAAGCTTGTGAAAATATGCCTAAAATACAAATAAAGGGCCTCAATTCTTTTAGACCCCAACCATCCATGACTTAAATTTCCATTTCATATATTTTTTTCAAAAAATTCAAACACACCCAATTCATTTGAGTGCCTCTCGTCCACCATCAGGATCAATATTGGATGTTCCAGCTCTTAGATACAAATAAAGGTCCAACAATTTAAATATCTGTATTGAATGCATTAAATTCTGAATATCATACCATATTTTCTCTCGTATAATATGCAGTTTTACCTAAAAGAATAGTTTGTAGAGGGGATGTATGTAATACACAACTGTTGACATTTTATTTAGTTTTTTTAATTTTTTGTTAATAATATCGGTTTTTTTTTCTTTTCTTTATTGTATGCATTCAAGACGATTTTCATTTTTTTTTTTATTTATTTGAGTAACCCAAACAATTAATACTAATATTTTTACACTTCATTCAAATGTCAATAAATTAGTTTACACACAATTAAATTATTTCTATACCTGCATTCTGATACTAGCAATACGCTGCATATACTGTGATGCCAAGTGAGCCTTTCTGTCTTCTTTACGTTGGGCTAGTGCCACATACAATGGTTTGGCTACCACAATCCTACCATTCATTTCTGTGACTGCCTTAGTGGCCTCCTCTGGAGAACTAAAACACACAAAACCAAATCCTTTGGATCTTCCACCTTCTGTCATAACCTGAAAGTAACATTGAAATAAAAAATATTAAAATAAATAAGTGCTGTTCTATTAAAACATACATAATATCAAAAGATGGCATTTTGAAAATGGGGTAGCCATCTATAGTGGCAATTTTGGAAATTCACTTACATTTTTCAGTAGAAAAGCATAGTTGACACCCACCTATAGTTGAAACTTTGACCTTCCCAATGTATATTTATATGGTACATCCCTTAAATCATTTGAATACTCTGTATATCATACCTAAGTAAGTGCAAACTGTATCAAAAAGGCAAAAGAAGAGAATATGTAAACTAAAATGTCATAAATTAACATAAACTCTATTAAAAGTGACTGAATAAAGAAAATAAACTGAAAATTATTTTCAAAATTGCTAATTCTGCACTGATAAAAAATTTGCATTATTCATAATAGCAGTTTTATGAAAATCTGGTATACATATATGGCAACAAATAGTCAATTTTTCTGCATTTGAGTGGCGGACAGAGAAAGTTAAGCAGAATAGTGAATTAAGTGCTCACTTCATTCATTTTGGAAGATTAATTGATTGTTGATTGTCAATTGTTCTCCGTCCTAAATTATTTGAATACTTTTCCTACATACCTTAGCACTTGTAATGGTTCCAAACTGAGAGAATTCCTTCCTAAGTCTTTCATCATCAATGTTGTCATCCAAATTCTTTACATACAGATTAACTCCTTGGTATCTATTAATTCTCTCCATTCGGATTCTCTCAAATTTGTCCTTAAGCTCTGCTTGTCTCTCAGCCTTTTTCTGTGCTCTGCCAGCAAACAAAGTCCTTTCGTGGATGTTTAAACCGTTCAAATCTTCAACAGCCTATTAAAAATCACACATATTGTATTTTCTTCATATGTTGTCAAAAGCTATTTAATTCAAAAAGCTGAAACAATGTACTAATTTTAAGTGTGCCTGTGCAGCAAACAATTAAAAAGCAATGTTACTGTAGAAAAATGTTCATTTATAGGTCACTCCTAAAAGATTGTTCTCTTAACATGTTGAAGAGAAGCCCTAGAAAAATTTTGATTTCGAACCTGGATCATTCAGATTTTTTAGGAGTTGCAGAAAAAAACACCTAATTTTTCTAAATCTACATGTCTTTAAACGGAGTTCTTGAAATATTTGTTTTCCTGGTGGTCATTGATGAAAATCTGCTGGTCCTCAAGCATTTTGTAAAGCTCACTATTATTTCTTAGGTAAAAAAAAAATATATGTCTGTTTACGGTTACCCGACCGTCCCTACTTTTAAGCGCCGACCCTAAGTCATTTTATTTCCTTCGTAAAGTGAATAAAATGCTTCGCTGGGGCGCAGCTTGATACGACCGCAGAGGTCGAACCCTGAACAGTTGGGGCAAGTATGGACACAACATTCAAGCTTGATACAGCTCTGAATTTGGATTGTTATTAAATATTTGACACAGCATAGGTTTCTGACACAGAAAGAATGTGGTCTAAGAACTTGAATTTTTTTAATTTACCTATTATGGTCCAATGTCCAAAATCAAAATACATGGTTAGATTCAGCATATCAAATAACCCCATATATTCAATTTTTGTTAAAATCAAACAAAGTTTAATTTTGGACCCCAACTTGGACAAACTTGAAAACTGGGCCCATAATAAAAAATCTAAACACATGTTTAGATTCAGCATATCAAAGAACCCCAAGAATTCAATTTTTGCTAAAATCAAACTAAGTTTAATTTTGGACCCTTTGGACCTTAATGTAGACCAATTTAAAAAACGGGACTTAAAATTAAAAATCTAAATACACGGTTAGATTTGGAATATCAAAGAACCCCAATAATTCAATTTTTGATGAAATCAAACAAAGTTTAATTTTGGACCCTTTTGACCTCAATATGAACCAATTTGATAGCGGGGCCCACAAATAAAAAATCTAAATTCATGGTTAGATTCAGCATATCAAAGAACCCCATATATTCAATTTTTGTTGAAATCAAAAAAAAGTTTAATTTTGGACCCCAACTTGGACCAACTTGAAAACTGGGCCCATAATCAAATATCTAAACACATGTTTAGATTCAGCATATCAAAGAACCCCAAGAATTCAATTTTTGTTAAAATCAAACTAAGTTTAATTTTGGACCCTTTGGACCTCAATGAAGACCAATTTAAAAAACGGGACCCAAATTAAAAATCTAAAAACACGGTTAGACTTGTCATATCAAAGAACCCCAATAATTCAATTTTCGATGAAATCAAACAAAGTTTAATTTTGGATCCTTTTGACCTCAATATGAACCAATTTGATAGCGGGGCCTACAAATAAAAAATCTAAAAACATGGTTAGATTCAGCATATCAAAGAACCTCATATATTCAATTTTTGTTGAAATCAAACAAAGTTTAATTTTGGACCCCAATTTGGACCAACTTGAAAACTGGGCCCATAATCAAAAATCTAAATACATGTTTAGATTCAGCATATCAAAGAACCCCATATATTCAATTTTTGTTGAAATCAAACAAAGTTTAAATACTGGACCCTATCTTGGACCAACTTGAAAACTGGGCCCATAATCAAAAATCTAAACACATGTTTAGATTCAGCAAAGCAAAGAACCCCAAGAATTCAATTTTTGTTAAAATCAAACTAAGTTTAATTTTGGACCCTTTGGACCTCAATGTAGACCAATTTAAAAAACAGGACCCAAAATTAAAAACCTAAATACACGGTTAGATTTGGAATATCAAAGAACCCCAATAATTCAATTTTAGATGAAATCAAACAAAGTTTAATTTTGGACCCTCTTGACCTCAATATGAACCAATTAGATAACGGGGTCCACAAATAAAAAATCTAAATACATGGTTAGATTCAGCATATCAAAGAACCCCATATATTCAATTTTTGTTGAAATCAAACAAAGTTTAATTTTGGACCCCAATTTGGACCAACTTGAAAACTGGGCCAAAAATCAAAAATCTAAATACATGTTTAGATTCAGCATATCAAAGAACCTCATATATTCAATTTTTGCTAAAATCAAACAAAGTTTAATTTTGGACCCTTTGGACATTAATGTAGACCAATTTGAAAACTGGACCCAAAATTAAAAATCTAAATACACTGTTAGATTCGGCATAACAAATAAATAAATGTGATCAAAGATTTTACAAATCTAATGCGCCATACTGTGCAATTAAAGATTACTTCTTGAAATTTTTCAATATTTGAAATTTGAAAAAATAATAATATTTGAAGAATAATTCTTTTTAATTTCTGAAATCTGAAATGAGAAAAAATTGGCCCCCCACAATTTCTTTTTATCCCCCCCCCTTTTTCCCCCCAAAAAATTCTTTCCCTCAAGATATGGTCATAATCTCAATTCAAATTTCCAATGGAGTTGGCAACCATAATTACCCATTTAAATTTACCATAGTGCTAACTTAATCTATTTTATAATAGAATTAATAAAAATATAGTGTCAAATCTTTCATATGGATTTTTTTGTAAAAAAAAAAGATGAAAACATTTGCAGATATTTTTACTGGTCTTCCTTTATAAATATGCATTTCTTTAAACATAATTTAAAAGCAGTGTAAGGGAAGTAACCAAAACGTTGTATTTGGATTACCTCCCTTACACTGTTTTAGATTATCTTTATTGTTCATTAACCATTACTTTATACATAATTTAAAAGCAGTGTAAGGGAGATAATTTCAATGATGTATTTGATTTATCTCCCTTACACTGCTTTAAATTATGTTTTGTACTAAAGTATTTGTCCATTAACCAGGACAACCTTGTTTTTCCCCCTTTTTTGCCCCTAATTCCTAAACGGTTTGAGCCATAACCCCCCAAAGCAAATCCTAACCATCCCTTTGTGGTATGGAAACTTGTAGTATAATTTCAGAGAGATCCATACACCGTTCCACAGTTATTGTCTGGAAACTAGAAAATGCTCATTTTTGGCCCCTAATTCCTTAACTGTTGGTACCATAACCCCCAAAATCAATCCCAACCTTCCTTTTGTGGTATTTAACCTTATGGTCAAATTTCAAAAAGATCCATTCACTTAAACTAAAGTTAGAGTGCGAAAACCAATATGTATTCGGACGACAACGCCGGACGACGACGACGACGACGACGCCAACGTCATACCAATATACGACCAAAAAATTTTTTGGCGGTCGTATAAAAATAAACTGAACTCGTGTCTAAAGCAAAGTTAGTGTTGCAAATAATATAAATCAATTGCCTGATACATCCTAATGTTCACAATGGTGAATATGACAGCTGTTTTAAGGAAATTTGCAACTCGTGTGATGAAATAAACACTTTGCCGCCATTTTTTCCAAAAGAAATAATCCAATCATTAAAAATTTGAGTCAACTCGGCCCATGATCAACTCGGACCACGACAAGAGGAAAGGCATGAATCAAAATCATGTCGCAAAAAATAAAATGGAAATACTGACCTACCTACCCTATTTTTTAAAAGTATGTAACCTTAAACAGACATATATTTTTTTTTGACCTTACACAAAATACCAAAATTCCATTTCAAAATATATGTGGACAAAACCTTAGGACCACCACTTTTTGAGATTTCTGCTCAAAGGGTTTTGTTATAAGACCAGAAATAATTTTATCAAACAAGATAATAATTACTTTAGGACTTGAGCTGATTTCATTGACGAACCTGAATTTTAATTTTGTAGTTCATAACTTGTATATGTGATGTACACATTAGGTTAAGCTACTTTATTGTTAATTTAAAGTAACCTACCTTTTCTGCTGCCTCTGGTTCTTCATAACTAACAAATCCAAATCCACGACTTTTACCGCCAATGTCAGACATGATCTGTCAATAAAAATAATAGTTATAATCTTATATCAAAACCATAAATTTTCATAACCATCAATTAGTTCCTCACCCTTCAGGAGCACCTGACACTTTCCAAGATTTTAACGGGGTTCCTATTGCTGTCTTTAGTTGTCTATGTTGTGTTTTTACAGTTATTTATTTACCTTTAGAGAGTGATTTTAAACTAAATCACCATGAGTGTACTGTACAACAATCATTCAACAAAATTGTTCCATCTATATAAATCAAACTATCTTCTAACCGTTGTTCCCTTCTACAGTTGGAGTTTCTTTTAATGTCCAACCATATAGTTCCCATAGCAAATTCATGTATCAAAACAGAAACACAATCTAGAGGGTCAGACTAATATTTTCTAATAGTTGAATCCTTTTATCGTCAGAAATATTTTTAACAAGCATTCTGAGAGTATTGCATGGCAATACATAGTCCCCTATCGTTTAAAAACTAATTGTACTGGAACAAAATGCTAACTTGATCTATAACTTGTCATGGTGTGAACTAAATAACAAATATCCAAGTCAATATCGGCAAGCATGACGAAAAAAAGTGTGGAAAACTGACTATTTAAGTGAATTTTCTAAGTCCAAGGACCATCGGTAGGGGACTAAAAAGTCACTTCCAACCAATCTAAATTTAATTTTGGAATACTCATACAACTTATAAATTGCCCTTTTATCTATATACAGTGGCAGTGAGTGAAGGCCATGAATCACAACATTTTACCTGGCCACTACCACAAAATATAGTGGCAAATCTTAAAACCACCATACAAATCAAAACAAACTATCATCATATTCACAGTCTATAATAGCTCATACCTTAACACTTATAAGTTTCCCAAATGGTTCAAATATATCTTTCAGTTCATCCTCAGACATATCGTCACCAAAGTTCTTCACGTAGACATTGTTAAATTTCTTCATCTTGTCTCCAAGAATTTCTAGACGTTCCCGTCTATTCATGAATCGTCCTACAAATCTAGAATAAGAAAATATTTAATAAAGATGGTATGATTATAAACTGCTTTAAAAGACTAAACAGCATTCAAACATTTTAACTTATGTGCACCTACCAAACACTATTCAAGATACAGTTTTTAATAAATGGATAATGTGTCCATGGGAAACATATGATGCCCCACTTGCATATAACGTTTTAAAGGGATATAAATCAAGAATGGTAAAATTAAACTAGTAATGACTTTTGGGGTAATAAGCATTGTGTATTTTAGCAATTAGTCCATTTGTAAAGGAACATAACTCTAGATCGGTAAAAGTGACACCACCCAAATTCAAAATTGATCTGTGTTTTGTGGTAATTAGCACTGTGTACAAGTTTCATAACATTTCGTTGAGACAAACTAAAGTTAGAGACAGGAAACTTATTTTGGGACGTACGTACATACAGACAAGGGTAACACTTAATGCCCCTTCTGCTACTACAGGGGCATAAAAATGAAGAAATAAAAAGCTCAGCATTTTCATCTTTTTCACAGTTATTAATTTTCTGATAAACACTATACACAACGAATGATTACAAAGAAAACTTACACTTTCTTTCCATTCAACAACATGCCGTTTACTTTTTCAATAGCATTTCTGGCTGCTTCCTCAGTTTCAAAATGTACAAATCCGTATCCACGGGATCCATGCTCGTCACAGACAATCTGAAATTGATGTTCCAAAACTTACACGAGTTAAATATCTTATCAGCATGCAGTGCAAGCCTAGTTCTGATTATAATCAAATTATGAATATAAATTTGAAAATTTCATTTGATCAATTATATTTTTAAATAATTGATGGAAGTAAATCATATATATAAAATGCTGTATTTTACAAAAATCTTTAGACACCTTATTTTTTCATTTTTATTTTTGCTGTGGTCATGTGATGTCCCTAATATGGTACCCAGTTATTTTTATCTGTGATTAAGGGGATACCCAACACTTAAAATGGATTTGACTCCTTTAATTTTCACAACATAAAATATTTACTTTTGATCTGTCAACAAAAATATAAGAACCACACAATTTACAGGAATAATTTCATTGATTTGAATATATTGCAGTTTGATTAAAACATTTGGCAGATTTTTAAATAGTTCATTCCCTTAGGTGTTCTGTAACCCCTCAATGTAAAATAAAATCCATTATTAAACAGTTTTCTTACCTTACAGGATAAAATATTTCCAAAGGCAGAGAAGGTATCGTATAATGCCTTATTGTCAATGCTTTTGTCAAGATTCTTGATGAATACGTTGCCAACACCAGATTTTCTCAGAGATGGATCTCTTTGAGACCACATGATTCTTATTGGTCGACCTTTGATGGTGTCAAAGTTCATTGTGTCAAGAGCTCTCTCAGCTGCAAAAGATACATGAGTATGTTCACACCTTCACGAGTATTTTGCATACATGTATTTTGTGTTCAGATTCTTTTTCAAAAATGACATTTACAATCAACCTGATTACATAAATTAAAGTTTTTACAAGTTTATTTAAACCTTGAATTTTATATACAATTACTTGATAGTCAGTGAGGACAATTTGACAGTTTTCTTTTATACATGCATATTATGCATTTGAACTGTTTGATAAGACATTTGTACTACATGTACATTTTGTTTGTACTACCCACTTTTCATGTACATTTGTACATGTATCAAAAAGGGAAGGTTAATGTCCTGTCTCAAAATGGCACACCCTGGATAGTACAGTTGAATCTCAGAGAAAGAGAAAGGCCAAAATGGCTATTCATATTTCAATGCATCAATTAAATCTAACCGTTTTTAAAATTTTTCTCATTTATATAAACATCACCATTTACACATGTACAATGAAAAGTCTCAAAAATGTAAATTTAATTACATTTCATATCATACATGTACATGTATGTAGGTGGAAAGAGTGCACTTTCTTTTAATCACATTTTGCAAGTGGGGCAACTGGGAGAAAAGTCTGTTAAATGCATGATTTTTTTTATTAGTTATTGGCTTTGAACTAGCTGTCAGTAACTGTGAGTACTCTCAGATCTGTACTGTGTGTCTTTTTTTTGTTGGGATGTACAAGTACCAGTCCACGTCCACTCTGTGTTTTTGCAAGATGTATTTCTATTCGTATCCATCTGATGAGTTAAGCCTTTTCAACTGATTTTTATAGTTTCTTATGTTGTACTGTTAAACCACTGTCCCAGGTTAGGGGAGGTTGGGCGCCTCTAACATGTTAAACATTGCCACATTCTCAATGTGCCTGTCCCAAGTCAGGAGCCTGCAAATCAGTGGTTGTCGTTTGTTGCTGTGTTACATATTTGTTTTTCGTTCATGATTTTGTACATAAATTAGGCCGTTAGTTATCTCGTTTGAATTGTTTTACATTTGTCATTTCCTAACCATTTATAGCTGACTATGCGGTATGGGCTTTGCTCATTGTTGAAGGCCATACAGTGACCTTTAGTTGTTAATTTTCTGTGACAAATACTGGCTACTAAGGGCCCTAATATCCATGTACTGTAAACAGGGAAATTTTCGCAGCAGTTTTATTTTCGCGGTAAGAGTTGAAATGCGAAAAAAAACTACCGCGAATGTTTCAAGGAAATCCAAACACGAAGACCATACATGAACGTATGTCAATAGGATATGCAGAAGGCTAATTTAAAACATCGGTTTTACAGACAACAGATCTATACCGCAAAATATAACTTTATTTCTGAAGGAAAGTCAGTGTTAGATATCAAAACTTTAACTCATGATAGTAGTCTTCACGCTGAGTGGCAGCCCAGGCTTGTAAAATTGCTCTTGGGCCTGTGAAAATCATATCTAGAAGTCAACAGAATCTAACTAAAAATTTTCAAAAATTGAGCTCCGGGCCTGCAGATTTAGCAGTTCATCGTGAAGACTGTGATAGTCCTCATTAATCAAAGTGGACATTACGGATATTGCTCAATAAACAACTATTGTTACAGTTATGTAAATGACACCTGTCAATTAGTTTTAAAATGATTACCCATTGTATCTGCTGCACAGATCAATCAGATTAAAATATTAACTAATAAGCAGTAATTCTGTCAGCATTTAATTCACTCTTAATTAGGTTATTTTTCTTTGTTTATTGTGACTGTGTTTTTAAAAGCAAACATAACTAATAGTTTTAAATGTGAACTGACAAAAAGGAATTTTGATTGGTTTTATCACTTGATTTAAATTCATTTATTAACACTGTACAGTTTCCAAATCATTTATGAAAAAAACTTACATAGGACACCGTCCGGGACATCGCGAATTCAAAACCATGGGAATCTAAATTTTGTTGGTAAATCGCAAAAAAAAGACGGCATGAAAATTTCCCGCTTTACAGTAATATCCGGAGAAATAAAAAATGTGTGATCCAATATGTTGCAGCCAAAATCATATTAAATGTTTAGTCAGATATGTTTTTTGCGTTCCCATTTGTTAACAACTAAATAGGTATTGTGCCCACAAATTATCTTTATAATTTTAAACCCTCATTTCATCATTTAGAAAACCATGGAATTCTTTTAAAAGCATCACTACTTTTGTGTGCATTTTTCACATATCATGCAATAAATACCAGATACAAAGTCTAAACTGAAATTGGTTTCGAGGAAAATCTTCAATTTTCTTGATTTTATATTATCTTTCCACTACAAAAGGGTTGGTCCTGGACATATCTACAAAAATCCTTTGCAAGAACAATGAGAATGCAAGATATATTCTTAATTACAGGTGGGGTTAAAACAAAAGTATGGGCAGATCATATGTTTTCGTGCATCATATGAATTCTTATTATGCATGCTTTTTCAATGGAAATTGTGTTTCACAATGCAAAAACCCACGAGACGAGGATATCGACCAGCATTGCAGGTTTTGTTTTGCCTTTGGCGTCATATATAACAGATAAAATTATTGCATTGTATGGTATTGTTTCAGTGGGATTGAATTCCTATTCTTTTTCGGTGGGGCGAGTTGGTCGGAGGGGAAGCAAGTTAACTCGTACCATTGCAAACTCGTACCAACGTAAGCTCTTACCACTGCGAAGTCGTACCATTTAGAACTCGTACCATTAAACATATATTCCAGTGATTCCGAAGGTCTGTCAGCAGCCTTTTACCATTTTTTTAGATCAAATATAATGCCAGTGGCAACTAAGAAATCTATTTATAAACACCATCTCAAGGGACGTACATTGACAGCTGATTGCTTTATTTACATTGTCTCGCATTGTTGAACAAGGTTACATCCAATGAACGATCATGGCTAAGTTTTTGTCAAATTGAAAAGTAAATATTGTTTGCAAACTTTTTTTTAAATACAAATGCTTGACTGTACCTTAAATCGGGAATGCATATATATCCAAACTAAATTATTAAAGCAGTAAAATCCAGAAATCAAACGAATTCCCTGATCACGTTTTCTTTTGTTGACAACCATGTCACATGTACACTTTTGGCGGGAAAAATACTGGGGAAACACCTATAACAGATAACACTGTCTGGTTATTTACAGACACTTAAAATAAACAGCTGAAATAGGAGTGCCAGGAAAAGAGTTAAACTTGGTATATATAATTCCTTATTTACACACCATTTGAATGCATTTAAATAAGTTGGTACGAGTTTACAATGGTTTGAATTTACCGTGGTAGGAGTTAGCAGTGGTACGAGTTTGTTTTTAGTGGTACGAGTTTACAATGGTTTGAATTTACCGTGGTACGAGTTGACATTGGTACGAGTTTGCAATGGTACGAGATAACTATAATTCGGTCGGAGGCAGGTTGACTTGCTACCACCGACAATCTGTCAGTGTCAGGTCAAATGACTGTGAAATTGAAATATATGAATATCAACATTTAAATACATGGAAATGTAAACTTGGTAAATGGTCAGTGCGATAACAGATATACAACTCTGGAGATCTTACCATCTGCTGGCTGCTGAAAGTTGACATAAGCATAACCAAGCGAACGTCTTGTGATCATATCTCTACAGACACGGATACTGAGGACTGGACCTGCTGTTGAAAATTTCTCAAACAACATAGCTTCGGTGACATCTGGGTGAAGATCTCCTACATACAATGAAGCCATTGGGTAACTTGCACCAGCTGGATTGATATTAGTCGTCATTTTCAGAGGTTAAAATATGGCGCTGTTGATTGCTAGAAGAAATAAGGTGTTTTCGCTTCTGTTCTATCACAAACCTACCGTTTCAGTAGTTTTTTTAAGAGTTTTGTTACTTTTTCAATTTTTTTGTATTTTTTAAAAGTTTTTACGCTTAATTTCTTCCAGTTTAAGTGTTGTGTGAGACAACTTTTCGCACACAACACACGGCAACCTCACGATTTGAGAAGAGGGATAGGAGAGGTAAATTACCGCGATTTATATATCATCTGAAACCGGATAATCCTACACTAAAATAATCCAACAATATCGAAACGAAATCGATGTCATCAAACCACTGGCAAGTTATCATTTTCTACTCTTTGAATATTTTTGGAAACTTTCAGTTTTATTTTTGTATTTACTATGAAGAATTATTCTTTATTGAAGGAAAATTTCCAAAGAATTTCCACACAATTTTTTTTTAAATTGTGACGTGTAATATTACTACGCAAATTTAACGGAATTATCTCCCTTATAATCCACGTGTTTTACGGTCATGTATATGACGCAATTTTATTTTAATAACATTTTTAACAGCATGTCAATCTTTTCATCCTGATCCCTATTGTTTATGGTCATTGAATTGACCAACAACATTTCCCGCGGGGATAGTTATTAGATGTTGACATAATAAGTGGAACACGAATCAATGCATGACCACCAATGGTCCGAGATCCTCAGCCCTGAGATTTTAGAAGTAAAAAAAAAAGTTTTTTTAAGCAGACAATCTTTTTTATTAAACTGAATTCATTTATTTTAGATCTATATTTGTTTGACTTTGCAAGAGCTGGAAAATATAGTTAAGAGACTTGAAACTGACATTTGCTTTATATCAGGTTGGCAGGGTTGCATTTCTCTACTCAATAAAAGGCTTACTATTTTGGGGGTCCTTTTAGAATTTTTGGATAATTCTATAAAATTAAATGATATTTATGAATGATTGCAAGGTGGCATAGATACGGTGTTGTGTTAATTTCTATGATCTTATAATTTTGAGAATAGACCCAAATGAAAAGAAAAAGTTTAAATTATAATGTTTATAAAGGCAACAAAAACCCCTCAATGTAAAGAGTCAGCATTTTCAATGGTATTCACTCTTGTTTATGACGGGTTTTGTGTTGCTCAGTCTAAAGTTTTAATTCTATGTTGGGTAATTGTAGACTGTTGTTTGTCTTTTCGTCGTTTTTCGATTTTTGCCACTGCGATAAATCCAGTTATCAGTAAAAGACAGAAAACAGATTTTCAAAATTTTACTCTCACTGTTCTTTTGATCATACAAAAGCTTCTTTCCAAGTTTTATTAAATTTCAAGAATCTTTTGTGCATTAAAATTGGTTTCGTAACCAGAGGCGTACGTATATAGCTTCCCTTGACTGAGACAATGAGATAACTCACTCGATCACTATTTTTTTTACAAAAAAAAAAAAAATATGAAGATAAAATGTACAATTTGTATTTCGTAGTATGATGATAGTTTTAAACATTTGACTTCTCTAAAGTTTACACCAGTATTTTCCTTCTAATCGTAAGACAGATTGAAAGAATTGTTTCAACTTGATACAAATATCCATTAGCAACTGACATATATATATATACCTATATATTTAGTCTCTGATGCATGATTTTTTATTATTAATTGTTTTTGGCTTTTAACTAGCTGTCAGTAACTGCGAGTACTCTCAAATCGTACTTTCTTGTTTATTTGACCTGTTGATACTAATTGTAATGCTTTTTTGTTATTTAATGTTATTCAGGGTTATATCTTGTCTATATGTACCAGCTTTGATAAGTGTTTGGTATTACTATAAATTTTCACTTCTTAATTCGTACTATCAACATCAAAATTATTTATTTTGTTAAAATATTTCCTTTCTCTATTTGAACTGTACACGTATACCTAACAACAAAATTATTTTCATTTACCTGTGTTTAAAGTAATTGCAAATGGCTGATATTTTTATTCAAGCATATTGTTTTTCTTAAATTGTTTAACATTTCACAGCGGTATAACATGTTACTTTTATCATTCTTCCCTTAGTTTATTTATTTTGTATTTATATTGTATCATAGATCAAATTTATTTGTTCAGTGTATGTTCACTGGTGTTAATATGTCTTTTGATTGAGTTAAGCCTTTTCACTTGATATTTTATAGTGTGTCTTTCTATGTTGTGATGTTACTGACACTATTGTTTCAGATAAGGGTGAAGGTTTGGTACCATTTAAACGTTTAAACCCGCTGCAATTGTTTTCACCTAGCTGTCCTAAGTCAGGAATCTGATGTTCAGTAGTTGTCGTTTGCTGATGTGGTTCATAAGTGTTTCTCGTTTCTCGTTTTTTATATAGATTAGACCGTTAATTTTCCCGTTTGAATGGTTTTACACTAGTAATTTTTGGGGCCCTTTATAGCTTGCTGTTCGGTGTGAGCCAAGGCTCCGTGTTGAAGACGTACTTTGACCTATAAAGGTTTACTTTTATAAATTTTGACTTGGATGGAGAGTTGTCTCACTGCGGCACTCATACCACATCTTCTTATATCTACTAACTAATAAATACAAAGAACAAAAAAGGTTTTTTTCAACTGATATCTTAGAATCATCTTAGCAGCAATATATATACAAACTTCACCTGCTTTAGGCATATACATTTCCCAACCCATTCGGTATTGAAGAGCTTGCAGCTGCTACTGAGACTTTATAAAACGTCACCAGTGCATGAGCAGAAAGTTGATGAACCAGGATTATGTCAAAGAACGTCTCGTCCTTTTTCTAAAATTAAAAAGGTTCATCGGAAGATACCAAGGCATTGTTAATAGATATTCCGTATCAACTTCACAAACAATACACGATGGTCTTGAAGTGTAGATTCTAGGTACTGACGTTGTTTATCATCTAAATTACATGTCTTACAGGTTATAATGTTCCTTTTATTTGTCTTTGTACATTTTTAACATTTACAGTTTATATAAAAAGAAGATGTGGTATGATTGCCAATGAGATAACTCTCCACAATAGACCAAAATGACACATAAATTAACAGCTATAGGTCACCGTACGACCTTCAACAATGAACATAGCCCATACCGCATAGTCAGCTATAAAAGGCCCCGAAATGACAAATGTAAAACAATTCAAACGAGAAAACTTTAACGACCTAATTTATATATGTACAATATAATGAACGAAAAACAAATATGTAACACAGCAACAAACGACAACCAATCAATTACAGGTTCCTGACTTGGGACAGGCGCATACAGAATGTGGCGGGGTTAAACTAGTTTGTTGGCGCCAAACCCTCCCCCTAACCTGGGACTTTTTATCAATCAGTTCACATCCAATATCCAATGGATTTAGTATGAAGACGTCATAAACAGTCAGAGAAAAACACGACCTTGTTCAATGCCAAGATGTTTAGTCCTATTTTTGTTATATACTTTTGGCGTGGCTCGGTATTTATACATCCCGCCATTGTGTTATTGTGACAAGGTCATCTTTGTATTCTGGTCTTTCATTTTTGCTTATAATTTTTGTCTATAAAGTGTCTACATGCCATATTTTTTTTCTTTGTTGAAATAGTTATTTTTTTTTATAGTCATTAAGATTATAACACAATTATGTTGACTGCTGTACCCCAAATTTTGACGTTTTTACCTATTATGTCTGTTTGTTTTGCTCACACATTGTTGTCAATATAATGGAATTCTATATAGCTATGTATTCTTCATACAAAGGAGAGGTTTAGCTAGCTATAAAACCAGGTTTAATCCACCATTTTTTGCATAAGGAAACGACTGTACCAAGTTAGGAACATGATAGTTGTTTACAATTCGTTTGATGTGTTTTCGCTTTTGATTTTGCCAATTGATGAAGGACATTCAGTTTGGAATTTTCCTTGGAGTTCGGCATTTTTGTTATTTTATTTTTTATCATTAAGATCCCGCTTTTCAATGACAACACATATCTACGTGTTGCAATACGCAGACTTAATACAGAGACTTCTAGAAAAGAATGCAATTGAAACTAGCTGCATTATTCTTTAACTTCACTTTTACTCCAGACCTACATATAAACGGTTTTCTCGCTAAATAACTAAAGTTTGGTGAGTATGCTGATGGCATCAACCCATTTGAGCTTAAAAATAACGATACCAAATATTATGTTATATATGTCTTATCTTGACTTATGGATATTTGACAGAACAGTTGAGAACTAAACTTTATGAAAAATAGATTATTTTTTTTTATTTTTGCATTGTAATCATTCCAAGTTCTATATTATATTATGTACCCCAGTTTATATGATATTTAACAACCTGTTTTTCTCATTCAATTTTAAGCGTGAAAGAGATTTGCCGTTTTTAATGGAGTTGCTGGACCAGGGGTTCTCAAAATTGTAAATTTGTTGTATGACTTTACCCTTACGGAATATGTGTCTCACATCTGGCAAATGATGTTTAATTGTCGTAACCACAACGCCGTCTTCTTTTCCAAGTTATGGCATTACCGAATGGGACTTGTAACCGGGTTTTCATTGCATTGAGCAACACGATGGGTGTCATTAGTGGAGCAGAAACGGCCTTCTATACCGATGCACCCCGTTTAAGTGTCATTTTTTGGTTTGATTCTTGCATGGTGCTCAAATTTGCTTTTCTTGTACTTTTTGGTGGGTAGGTGTTTATCTGTTCCGCGTCGTTTTTTTTCCTTGTTCATATTCTTGTCTGTTATTTCTTTAACATTTGTGTTTTTTTTAACTGTCAATTGGTATCGTCTCCTCTTTTTAATTTGTAGATATGATTCTTTGTTTCCCTATAACTTCACTTCAGTAAAAATAAAAGCTAATGAATTTCCTTATTTAAAAAAAACGACGAATGTCTTCATTATATCAAACAAAAAGTTTTCTCATTTGAAAGATTTTAATTAGCATTGAAAAATAATAGCATTTATTTCACGATTAGATTAAAATTCCTTAAACCGAATTTTTCATTGAGGATTTACTGCAAGAGTATGGATAGCCAAGAGGGCAAGAATAAAAGACAAAAAAAAACATCACACAAAATAAATAAAGATGGAAATCGTGAAAACAACCTCATCCAGTTACAATTTATGCTTTTTGCTGTTTTAGTCTGAAAAGTCCTTGTGAATACATAATTCTTGTACAACTGCTAAAAATAAGTTTGTTCATGATAAAATTACTATAGTTAGCTTATATTAGTATA